TTCCCATAGATGATTTGTTTCCCGAGCTGCAGAAGGTTTTTGCATCTAGCACCGTGCTAGCGACATGTAGTAGTTTAAATGTCCTTGGATGACAAAGGGAGGAAGGTTGAAATCCACACCATGTTCATCCTGCCCAGTTGTGAGTCAGTCCGAAATTGCTACTTCTTTTGTCCATACCAGCGTTGTTGCCCTCCAGCATTCAGGCTGGTTCTAATGTCTCCTTAGTTCTTTTGCCATTATTTAGGTGACAGACCAGCAAATAGGAACTCTTTTGAATTTTTTGTTTATTTTTATTCCTATTTTTTTTGTACCACCTTTGGTTAGGTTTCTTGGTTACTTATTCCTGTGAGGATCTTTATAAAATATAATTATATTTTACTGTGCATATGGTCTAAAGCAATAATGAGGTCGATTGATTGGGACCAGTTCTCAGTCTTGTCACCAGGGACTTAAAGTGCCAATGTATCGTCATATAGCTCACAGCAACCTCAACTCTTGGGCTCAAGCATCCTCCTGCCTCAGCTCCTATTGACCGCTCAGAGGCATGGCCACCGTACCAGGCTAATATTTTTTCTAGAGAAATGGTGGTCTCATTCTTGCTCAGGCCTGTTCTCAACTCCTGAGCCTCAAGTGATTTCTGCTCGTGCCTCCCAGAGTTGGTGGAGGATTACAGGCGTTAGCCACTTGCTGGCCCTTAACAGTTTTTTTCATACTAAATAAATCTTCCAGTTTCCAGGAGTTTTTTTTTGTATTTATTCCCATCCACAAGTCATGTGTCATTTTATTAAGCAATTAATTTCAATTAGGTAAGAAGATAATCCTATAGCCGGCCGGGACGGTGGTGGCTCAACGCTTTTAATTCTAGCACTCTGGGAGGCCCAGGGGTGATCGCCTTCAAGTGTCAGGGGAAAGTTCGAAAAAAAACCCAGGCCTTGAATGAGACCCCCGACCCCCCCCCGTCTCTACTAAAAATAGAAAGAAACTAATTGACCAACTAAAAACTATATACAACAAAATTAGCCGGGCATGGTGGGCCATGCCTGTAGTCCCAGCTACTCGGAGGCTGAGGCAGAGGATCCTTGAGCCCAGGAGTTTGAGGTTGCTGTGAGCTAGGCTGATGCCAGGCACTCACTTCAGCCTGGTAACAAACCGTGAGACTCTTGTCTCAATAAAAGAAACGAAAGAGGGGCCGGGCGCTGTGGCTTCACGCCTGTAATCCTAGCTCTGGGAGCCGAGGCGGGCGGATTGCTCAAGGTCAGGAGTTCAAAACCAGCCTGAGCAAGAGCGAGACCCGTCTCCTACTATAAATAGAAAGAATTTAATTGGCCAACTTCGGACTCACCCTCTCCTATCCTTAATAAACAACTCTACCACCCACCAATTACCGGGCATGGTGGCACCATGCCTGGTAGTCCCAGCTACTCGGGAGGCTGAGGCAGAAGGATCACTTGAGCCCAGGAGTTTGAGGTTGCTGTGAGCTAGGCTGATGCCACGGCACTCACTTCAGCCTGAGTAACAAAGCCGAGACTTTGTCTCAAAAAAAGAAAAGAAAGAATCACTATAAAAGGAGGTGCTAAACATGTTGGCTTTCTTACCTGAATTTTTTCTTTATTCTTTAGGTATATAAGAAAAAAAAAATTCATAGGAATAGTGTGAAGTAACCCTAATGATTTGTTCTAATTTACATAGTTCACACAACCCATAGCCTAGAGAAAGTACCAAAGAACAGCTTTGCAGAGGACTAGGGTACTCCTGTGGGAAGAGGAGTCTTTTCTTCTCTGATGGTTCTCTTGAGTTTACTTTGCTGCTAAAAGTGAGGTGGATTGAAGGGAAAATTTTCTTCTTTTTTTCAAGCTTTGCCAGAACACTTAGCTTAACAAACAGCTGTTTCAACTCTTAATTGTGTCCTCGAATTTCCAGGGATGCTTTCTGACCTCTTATTAGCAGCACAGCTAGGACTGGCTGGCATGCTTTGTGGTGCCAAACATAGCTGTAGCCAACCTGGAATGTGTCCAAGCCGAACAAGATACTGAAGTCAGAAGGAACAAGTGGTACAAATTCTCTCTTAGTCAGAGTCTGGAAAGTCATCATATTGAAATTCATGCAGGCAGATCTGACACACTCCTGAAAATTTTTTTATGAACTGACATTTCAGTTCTTCCAGGCCCTGAATAGTACATTTCAGTCAACAAGACATTAATATCTCTTTTTAAATTTGCCAATAGAAGCCAGCTCTTAGAGTGTAGGGACACTAGTGATAAACTTAGGGCTCGATTTGAATATTGCATCAGTGACTTGCATTAACATGCTAACCATATGATATTCAAAAAATAATGAATTTGCATCTGTATTGGGAACTGTCAGTTTGACTTCAAGAGTCAGTTTGAGCCTCTGCTTTAAGCATTCATAAATTTTGAGTGTCTGTGCTCTTCGTTAGTACTGTGATAATCCATGTTTTGAGTAAGTAATGCTGTCTTTAAAGCCAAGGGGTGCATATGTTTTGATTTGTTTTTCTAGTAGTGGTAGGTACATTTGCATCAGAGAATCAACAAGTTTTAAACACCACTGTCTCATGACCAGTGCCATCTTTGGGTAGACTGGTCAGCCAGAGACAGGAGCATTCTTTGACCAGTCCAGTCCATACCTATCCACAGTCTTTGTCTCAGACTCTTACATTCTGACTTACCAGCTGCGCTCAGAAGCAGCAAAGGAATAAATTAGAGGTTTTCTCTACATAAGGTTGATTATGTCATCTTATGTTTTGCCTTCTTTTTTTTTTTTTTTTTTTTTTTTTTTTTTTTTTTTT